GACTGTGATTTCCACCCAGGCATTATCTGTGTTTCTGCAGTCATCCACATAACCCTCAAACACCTGAAACACAGTAAGTGCAAGTCATAGTCGACAACTTCCTCAATGTCAGAGTAAAGAAACAGATGTTTATATAGGTATCATTGATGTATTCATGTAGACAGGTTTAACCTCTAACAACAGCCATGTTTCCTTGATCAAGGCACTGGCCATTTAAGATGAAAGGAGCCTCAACTTAATGCATCACATTTTGTCGGTAGAAGACTTTGACGTGGTCAGATATCTGACATTTTTGAAGGGAGGTATTCTTGTGTGTGATCATGTATCCATAAGGGTCTGTATAGTAACCTGTCAGTATAAGGCAACACAGTTTAATTGCACCTTAAATTGCATCCTCCAAAAGGATCCTACAAGTGATCCAACTCCTCTCTTCTTGAAGGTAGGATTTATTACACACTGTTGTATTGGATTACATTGGATTAGGCTAGGTGGACTCAATTAACAAGACGACTGAGTGTTTGTTTCCAAGCAAGCTACACAGCTGGTTTTTAGTGTTGACAGAGTTTGTTGTGTTTGAATACAGAGCTCAGTGTTAGCCAAAATATTTGTAATGTCATTACTAAATATTAAGATGATTTTGACAATGCAGATACTTAACCTCTCCCGAGACAACCAGAGTGTACTATCCACAAATAAACATATGGGCATGGGTTACTATTTAAAAAAAAAAAAAGGTAAATGTATTTAGGAACCTATATATCCATGTGATTTTAAGTGGGGGTGGACCTCAAATCCTCTAGGGGGGTCCGGGGATTTGAGGTAAAATTTTCTTTTTCTTTCTTGGAGTTAAATGCATCAATCTGGTGCACTTTGAGGGGGAAATAAAGAGACTATCTATGGGAACACCTATATGAAACAGAACTGTATACATTTCAATAATCATAAAATCATGGCCATATCCAATATGAAAAAACAATGAAACTTGTTGATTTATTTATTTTTGGTTCATTTATAGTTGTGAGTGTGTCTGTGCTCCTGAATCAGCCT